TTGTTTATACACTTGCGTTATTAATCATTTTTTATTAGTTAATTTGATAATAGTCTTCATAATTGTTGAACCAAGGACTGCGTTTGCCTGACACTAAGAACATGATTGCTGTAGCCTCTACTCTTATGGCACTGTAGGGCAAAGTGAGAAACATTGACTAGATAACATTTGACAAAGATAGTTCTTTATTTAATGGCAGAGCATGAGGATTTGGAGATACTAAACTAGGGCAAATTGAAGCAAATATTCTTGTGGAAGACTTAAAGTTTCAGTTATCTGTACAAGAAATAATCTGCAAACTGTTAAATCAGAAATAAAGGAAAAAGATCGTTGAAAGTGCCACTCATAGCCTGAGTCTACTTTGTGCTCCCAAGTTTCAGCGCTATCTTGCCATTCATACCGAAGTGAAGACGCATATAGTCCTGGCAACTTAGTTTGTTAAATAGATTTTGTGATGTGTTGTTCAGGACTTAGTCTCTGGTGAGTGCCTCCATACTGCAAAGATTTACTAGGCAGTCTACAAGCTCTATCCTTTCTGAATATAGGTGGTTGAGGTTGTTCTTTTGCTGGAGTGCCAAGGGCATGGTGAGTGCCTGAGTCACACTAGTTGTATTTTAGAGATTGGATGTTAGGCTTACCTTTGCTTTCTTTAATTTTTTTTGTTGTTTTGTGTATTTTCAAGTGTCTTCTCTTATTTTCTTGCTGTATTCTAATGAGTGTCCACAATCTAAGAACTGAAAGGCTATACGTATGTTGTTTAGTCCATTTTTTTTTTTATTATAAATATTCTGGATGTCAGAAAGAAAGTACCCTTTGGCTCCCAGATCGTGAACCCCTTGCTTAGAGCAACTTATGTTCTGAGGGATCCCCTAGGGAAATGGGCCCTATATAGGGTATTCTGATTATTGATCTAAATATTTATGTACATAGAGGCTTATAATTATGCTCCATTCATGTATGGTATGGAAATCTGATTGAAACATTAATTGTGAAATAACCAATAGAAGTGTAGGTGTCATGACAAAACTATCATCAGCTGCCTGTGTCTTGAGAGAACACTATTAACCCAATAATGCCGGGTAAAAAAGGTTTGGCAAGTGGACATAATAGAGGGATTGTTGGTGCGTATCGAGTTTCCCCTATTTGCACCCAGTTCGTTTGGTGCTTTGCAAGCAACATTAGGCACCTAAAAGCTTTATTTTGATATAATTTTTATAAATATTAAACTTTTGAAGGTTTATCATTACTTTGTGAGTTATTGCCTAAAAGTTTTACCATAGAAATGATCCTGCTACTATTGGAGAAAAACAAGCTCTGTTCATTGAGCTGATGGTGCAGGAATGGTCATGATATTATACCACTCACTACTTTATCCACAACAGCCATAGCATGTAAGTACATGCCCGGCGGTTAGGGTTAAGTTACTAATTTGACATATCAGTGACAGACAGAGACAATGAAATCAAAGGACAGGGTTAGAGGTACAACTAAATAGGGACAAACTGTGAGCTCAAAGCTCAAATCTTGCTTCTTTTAGCTACTCTTTACAAATGTTAGCGGCCAGAAATAAGGACTTCTACTTTTCATTATGTTTCTTTTGCTCTATTTTGGTGCCCCAATGATGCTCCTAACACCCAAAATGATACTATTACACTCCAAAGCATAAGAGAACTTTTTGAAAACCATTAGTACGTTCCAGAATGGTTATAGCCTCATGGAACCTTGTCCAACATTTTAGAAATTTATTTGGTTGCTATTTTCATTATATTACTTTGTATTATAGTATTGAAGGATGTGTTTTAATATTTATTCTAATGTATTTACACTAGTCTAAAGATGCAGCAATTCATCAACTATTGCCATTTTGTGCATAATTTCACAGATTATCCTATGATAAGCAATGGTTGGCTTGCCTTTACTTAATGCAAATATTGTTTATACTTGATTGTGTATTCTACTTTCTCCATGACCATTATATTACTTTTTCCATCTCTACATGCTTGTATTCTTGATAATATTTAATATTTTATTTCATATTGTTGATTTGTGATTTATTATTATAAAGCTGTTTTATCAAAGTACTCTGGAACTTTGATATTTTATGTTTTGGGACTTCAGATATGAAGTAGCAGTCAGAATAGTTTTCATTTATCATGATATTTTGATTAGATTTTGATAAGGTAGAACTGATTCATCTTCATTATCCTATAAATTCTGTGCAAAGATTTATATCAAAGAACATATTTTCACCCAACTTTATACTAAGGCTTTATAGATCTTACTTACACTGACTGCAGAAGAGGCATTAATTTGTCGTAATTATAAGTCTAATATTTCACATCGTAAGTACTCTGCTTAGAGTTATGAAGTAAATTCCTACATTATTGGATGACAGAGGGTGATTTAGCTCTGTGCTTCTCGGGAAAACAGTTGATTAACCTTCTCTTTAAATAGCTGCAGGAAGTGTCACTATATTTCCACATTGACCTTTCTGTGATTAGTATATGACTTTTTTTTTTTCTTTAATAATGGTAAAGTTCATTTGTGGATTTCTGTAATTATTAGATTTAAATTTTTCATATAAATGGCTTTGGTAATTCATAAAATGTAAAGAGTTGTTTATGCTGATATTCTTTTTATTTTTTATTATTTATGATTTTTATTTTTTATTTTTTGGCACGATATTGAGATACCTCTAAATATTCATGAAATTTTCCGGACTCTTTTTCTGCTTGATTAATTGTTTATATATTTGTTTATTCAAATGCAGGTAAATCTTTGAATTATCATATATTAAAGGATTAATTAGGACAGTACCATCTAATCTTCCCTCCCCACCCTTGGTTTGACACATTTAATGATATGATTTACAAAGATGGAGACTCTATGTAACTTTTGTCAATGTCAGTACCTGCTTTTATTTATGAAAGTAAAACAAAGTAGTAACTCAGGATCATTTATGAAATTATTTTAAACATTGTTAGAGGAGAGTGAAAAAATATGCATTTATGTAGATTAATATAGACAGTGTAAAACTAAATGAAAAAAACTTTTGATACTGACAATTATTTTATACCAATAAAAAACAGTTCATCCTTCTGAAATCTTGGATATATGTTCATACTCTGTGTGTGTGTGTGTGTGTGTGTGTGTGTGTGTGTGTGTGTGTGTGTGTGTGTGTGTGTGTGTGTGTGTGTGTGTGTGTGTGTGTGTGTGTGTGTGTGCGTGTGTGTGCGTGCGTGTGCGTGTGCGTTTGCATATGCGCGTGCATATGCGTGCGTGTGTGTATGTGTGTGTGTTTGTGTGTTTGCATATTTGTATTTAAATTATCACAAGTTATGATTTGATTGCAACTGATTTGCTTTCTGAAAATCAGTTACAGAGTTTTCATTTTTATTCAGGGATGTTTTGCTATTGATAAGAAAACATAAGCAGATGCTTAATTTTGGCTTATTTTTGTTCAAAATGTACAATTGTATACTGGATTGTATATCTCAGGGTGTTATTATATCACTGCAGATGAGATAAAAAGGAAGAAGACAAAAACCTGAAACTTGGAGTGAAACAAAGAAACTTTTTATAATGAGTTGCACAGCAGTTGGTATGTGATGTAGAACAGTGACTCACACAGATCACGGAAGGAGTTAAGAATAGAATACACACTTGCCTCAATACACAAATATTTATACAGATGCATAAACACCCATGAAGGTTCAGCGTCAGTATCCTGGGCTCTGATACAGTTTTTTGACCTCGGAAATTCTGCAGTCACTTTGTGTATTGATACTTATTGTGTGTTTTACTTGAGGTGTAGCAGATCAAGATTTTGGGAGGATTTCACTTATGTATCTGTCCGTTTTGTGCGATTATTTGTTTTACGCATTATTGCATTAATTCATATTTTGTACTAGATATGTATCTGCTAATGTCAGTGGAAGATTACAATTCTTTGGTCACAGTTATCTAGACTTGCTAGTCTGAAAATGGAAAAGGAAAGAAGAGAAAGTTGTAAGTGAAAGACAGTCAAAATGAAAAGTAAAAAAGAAAAGAAAAAAAGAAAAGTGAAGTGTAAGTAGCTGCTTATGAAAAGAAGGAAAAATAAAATTCATCATAAAAGAAATATGAAATCAGTGAGCCAGATATTGTCCTGAAACAGAAAAAAAGAGCCACATCCCACATATACAGGAAGAGTGGCAGGGAAAGGTCACTGATAAGATAAGGTCAGGGATCAAGCCATGGGTAGAAAGTTCCATTACAGTTACTGTTGGAATGTTTTTATTTTCTTTTATATAGGGCAGTTTCATGTTTAGGACGGTATGGGAGAACCTATGGTATAGTATCTCTAAAGGGAAAAGCTGTACGGGGGAGGAGGGGGGGAGAGTCAAGTCTTGTGACAATGACCTTGATATTTTTTCAGTGATTAAAAGATCTATTTTTCTTTTTAGTTTTACTTTGAGTGTTTTGTTGGTTTATGTGGAATTAGTTAGAATTGATAATAATCTGATGGTTTTGCATTGGAAAACTGAATAAAAGTACATTTTATCTGATCTTATATTGTGTAGTCTGGTTTGTGAATAATATGATTCAATGTGATGCCGTTGGAAAATATATCTTAAAAACTATATGTTAGGCATTTAAGTTATAAGGCCTTTCTATTTTTATTTTTTTTTTAGTGCCCCAGGTTATATACGGAGAAGTTGTCCCTTTAATATGCAATATATCAGTCTAGAGTGAATATCGCAGATAAGAAAATTATTAATGGTAATAACTGATGTTTGGGGATGGAAACTTTTTCAGTCCCTTTCATGTTTATATGACGGTTAAGTATGCACGTATATTTTGTGCACTTTGGATTTTTGTCATGATATGGTGTTAAAAAAAAAAAAAAAAAAAAAAAACAAAGAAAACTGATCAATTCTTATTGATTGACAAAAAGTGAAATGGAATATTTAATTCTTTACTCGCCGAAAACAATGATCTCACCTGTAATATTAGCTTAGTATCTTAATTAAAAAGAAGCTATTTCTCAGTAGCTCTTTATAACTTTAGTTAACCTGAATTTTAAGGCTGGTGTTATGGGTATGGGTGTTATGCGGCGCACACATGCGCATGGGCATATAATCGTTATTTCCAGTTATGGTCCCCACCGCCACCCCACCCCACCCCACCCCACTCCCACCCCACCCCACCACCCCCACCCCCCCACATCCCACCCCATACCCCATCCCACCCCACCCCCCCACCCCCCCCCACACCCACCCCACCCCACCCCACCCCACCCCACCCCACCCACCCCGTCACACCCCCCCCCACCCCCCACCCCCCACCCACCCAACCCAACGCAACCGACTGGCCGTGAATGGAATTGATTAATTGAATATTATACATGCTACGGAAATAGGGAGAATTATACTTACTACCATCTAACATTTATCGTGTCATCCACTCGACAACAATAAGGAGAGTTAATCTTTTCGTACCTATCTCACAAAAGAAAATATATATCTCACTATTTACTCTTATTTCTCCTTCCCACAGACCAAACCCAGGTGTGATGGTGGGTGTAGGAACAAGGGGGCCGGCATGGGCCCTGGGGGGAGCCTATACCCCTCACCACTCCTCGCTTCTAGATGTCCTAGGAAGCGAGCCAGGCGGCCCCCCCCTCGATGGCCCTGCCTTGACTGTGGCACTAGATGTAGTACAGGCCTGGGCTGTGCTTATCACTGTTGGCTTCACGCTTGTGCTCTTTGTGTTCCTGGCATTCTGTGTGTGCGCCAAAAAAGATGATGGGTAAGTATGGTATTAAAGATTTAAGTTATTTTTTATTTTTATTTTTTTTTTTATGTTACTTCATGTTGATTAAGAATGATAGTAATGGAGTTTGTGATGATGGTGACAATGTTGGTTTCAGTACATTTATTATTGTTGAATGATAATTGGGATGTCATCAAATTTGATTTAAATTAGAAATTGATATGGAATTTTAATAATTGTAGATAACATACCCTTTATTTGTAAATAGATAGATAAATACAAAATAAGGATTAAGAAACAAGGAAAAGAGAAAAGCAAATAATGGGAACAACACTCAAAATAAACTTCAACTCTCTTACATGTAGCTACGATGAATACGAGCTGAGCCAGGGGCTGACGACAGTGAAGGTGTGTCATGATGGAGGAGAGAATGGGCTCAGCAGCTATCCGCGCATCAATGGCTCCAACACACCTAAAGGCAGTGATGAGGCTTCAGAGGCATCCAGCAGGTGGGGAACTTTATGATCCTGGTGTTAATGATAAAATTAGCAGTATATATATAGATATATTTGGTTGTATTATAGCATTAGGGTTGATTTTTGTGGATATGTATTGTTATGATTATTTTAATTTCCAATGATTTAAGATAGTGTTTAGGAGTAACATTTTATTATAGTCAATAAAATTAATCATTTCATGTTAGAATCATTATTTTGATTCATAAATTGCTATGGCATGTAGTTATACCTGTTTCATTGTAATTAAAATACGGTTGTCAAAGGTATATCATTTGGTACATAGAATGAAATGTGTTTTCAACTGATTCACTGATTCATTAATTTCTGATGATGGTGAGATTGATGATAATGATGATTCTTTGCATTTATTTATATGTTTTCCTCTGCAGATGTACTCTGAAGCGGGAATTGCCAGCTATCCCATTAAGCGCTCATCCAGATCCATCAGCTGAGTGCAATGTGGAACGCACACAGTCACAACATTCCTCTGATCTCTATGCTGCAGTTGGAGATGTCAATGATGGTAAGAATAGACTTTATACTGTTGAGGATGAAGTACATGAAGTAAACTGAAATAGTGGGATTCAGAATTTTGGATAGTTACTGATAGTCTTGATACTGTTAAGGAAAAAAAAAAAAAATTATTTCTTAGGTATTCACATATAAGTAAATAAGTAAAAGGAATGGCTCTTAACCCTTTGGCTAGTGGCCGATTGGCAGTTCCCCTGTTTGTGCCTGGCTTGTTTGCGGCACCTATACATTAGGCATTTAAAAGATTTTATTTTGTTATCATTTAAAATTTAAAAACTGAAGCTTAACCTCATTTTATATGCCAGTACCATAAAGTTCAACCGTATGATTGTTGCTGCTACTAAAAGAGATAAACAATCTCCGTCCAATAATCCGATAATGTGGGACTGGTGAGATCTGGTGCCATATGTCATTAGGTTCACAATTTGTCAAGGGAAAAATGGATGCCAAATGGGCTGAATGGCTTGATCTTGGTAATTTCTCTACTGTCTAGAATGTACTAAACCTTTTCAGGTGTATTCATTAAGAGGAAAAAAACAATCAACCTAATATTAGGGAAGCATCCTTTTGAGACTTTCTAATGGAAAACAAAAACTAATTCTAAAATTCCCATCTTTCCCCGCAGCCAGTGGCATAGCCAAGGTTATTGGCGGTGTGCAGGTGCTACCCTCTGGTGCCATTGGGCCTGGGGGTCGAGCAGCCGTCCTGCGTGACCCCAATGTGACCTCCCCCACTGACTCTAGTGGTCCCACTACCAGTGATGGGCCTGGAGTTGCGACCAGTGTGGCCGCTGCTCACCCCTATGCCAAAGTGAAGAAGGAACATCCCTACGCTCATGTCAAGCTACCAAAGAGTGAGTGTGTGCAGAGAGCAGGGGAGGGAAATAGATTTGGGGATTAAATGGTGTGTCTGAATATGGTTGGTATGGAGGGAGCTGTGGATAGGGATGGGTGTGGGTAGGTTGGTGGGTGTGACAGTATAGTTTGTATATTGTGGATGTGGTTGTTATTTTTATTGTTATATGTCCTATTGTCATTATTGATTCATTTTGTGCCATATTTTTCTTGTTCTGCAGAAGATCATCCGTATGCGAAGGTGGTTCGAGATGATTCTGAGGACCCTGAAACAGATACAGATAATTATGATGACCCCAAAGCCATTGCCAAAGACAAAAAGTAAGTACAATACCCTTATTTTTCTCATACATTTTTGGCATGTTTTTATAAACAATGTTAGTATAATTGATTTTTTTCCTTTCATATTTAGATGTATGCAAATGATATTCATATTCATTTTGATCATTTGATGTGACATTTAGACTATTGTACTTTTGTTCTTGTAAAAATTGGTCTAGATCAGTTTTTTTTTTATTTATATGAATATCATAACCTCTATATGCCAGATTTGTACTTGATTGTATTGACAAATTTGCAATTAGTTATAACCTTGATATGTTAAATACAGATTAGGGGCTCATTCCAAAATTCCTCCATCCCTTTGCAGTAGTGGATGGGACACTGAGGCTACCTATGAGGCAGCTCCCCCTGTGCCAGAGAAGCGCTTTGACCTGGAGGAGGAGACGGCTGTGGGATCAGGTCCTCCTGCAGATAGCATTGTTGGGGGAGGAGGCCTCATGACCACCTCTGTGACCTCAGCCTCCTCTGCCCTTGGGCCATCATCCCCCCGGTCACCCCTCCTCAGCGCCCGGGTCTCCATGACGAGCTCAGCACATTCCCCTACGTCCCCCCATAGCACAGGGCCGAGTGCAGATAGACCCCCCTCTGCAGACATCCCTGCCGCCATGGCTATCTCAGGACGCACCCCTGCCAATGAGGAGTTGCCTTATATGACACCCCCACTACATCATGTAAGTCATATGTGAATTTTTCTTTTTCTTTGATGATGTCCCTTTTTTCCTTAATTTTTGTTTGATATATAGATCTGGCCTGTGACTTTGAAACAAATCATACAGTTATTCATATGCTTTGATACTTCCTCAAAATTGATAGTCTTATCTTTCATATTGATAATTAGTTTTGAGTTATGAGTGTGAATAAGATTTTTTGATTTTTTGAATTTAGGATTTTATGGAAATATTTTTCTGTGAGAGCTAATTACAGAAATAATTGTCTAGTTTAAATCAAATGAAATCTGAAATTCACTGATTAATAGATGGGTTTTCATCATTCACGGTCATGGATGAATAGTGTTACCAGTGAAAAAGATGGTCAGACACTTACATATTTTTCTGTGCTTCTTGCTAGCAAAATGGAACGGTATGTATTTGTTTATCAGGATGTAAAGATAATTAAGTAATGTAACATTTTTATTTTTCTAAATATATGGACCATTATTTATGTAGCATTAAGATAGAAACATTTAATTTGAATGGTGCTTGAAGATACTCTTTTTGTATTATAAACTATCATACCTACATAAGATATTGTACAAGGATTAGAGATGTCCAAACTGGATAGGAGTTAAGAATCATTTTACCATGATAACCTCCCATAGGCTGGCATTGAGCTCCCAGTACAGCAAAACTTTAGCGGAGACTCCCAGGACTCACGAGGCTACACAAGCATCAGTGTGCGGGAACCCCTGGCTGCCCTTAAAGCACAGACTCAGGGGACAACAGCTACCACAGCATCTCCAGCTACTCAACCCCATGAAGGAGAAGGGTGCGTTATTCTGAAATGAGTATAGAGTTTAATTTTTTTTATTCAGTGTGAAATTATCTGCTTTGAGAATATTTCAATGATATTTTGCAGTTGGGATGCTCTATTAACAATATTTCATTTGAAGAGATTTGTGCTATATATTTTTTCAAATCTGATGTGATTAGATTTCGTGTTTTTTGTTATATTTGTTTCTGCTCCACAGGTACTACATGACCGTGTCAGATGACTCGGCTGATGAGATGTATGCTTGCATATATGAAGGCTCAAGAGGCGTGGGAAGTGAAACCTATGCGCAGATTGAACCGCGTTCTACCCCACCCCCACCTCCTCCTCCTATGCCTAGTCCTCCACATGCGCCTTCAACCCCCTCACCCCTCTCGACTCGAGGTGGATCCCAACCTCCACCAGCTCCTCCTAGTGTGGATAGTCTGCGGCATGTTGTTCACTCACGTCAAGGTCAGCCTAGCATCTGTCTGTCATTATTTTTTTTGCAAATCCTGGAGAGAGGATGAAAGTGTTTATTATAACTTTGTTTATAATTGTTCTTTACTTTAATAGTAATAATATTGTTTGGCAAATTATATGTGTGTGTGTGTGTGTGTGTGTGTGTGTGTGTGTGTGTGTGTGTGTGTGTGTGTGTGTGTGTGTGTGTGTGTGTGTGTGTGTGTGTGTGTGTGTGTGTGTGTGTGTGTGTGTGGTGTGTGTGTGTGTGTGATGTGTGTGTGTGTGTGTGCGTGTGTGTGATGTTTGCGTGTGCGTGTGATGTTTGTGTGCGTGTGCATGTGATGTTTGTGTGTGTGTGATGCGTGTGTGATGTGCGTGTGTGCGTGTGTGTGCGTGTGTGTGTGTGTGTGTGTGTGTGTGTGTGTGTGTGTGTGTGTGTGTGTGTGTGTGTGTGTGTGTGTGTGTGTGTGTGTGTGCGTGTGATGTGTGTGTGTGTGTGATGTGTGTGTGCGTGTGATGTGTGTGTGCGTGTGATGAGTGTGTGTGCGTGTGATGTACGTGTGTGCGTGTGATGTGTGTATGTGATGGTGTGTGTGTGTGTGTGTGTGTGTGTGTGTGTGTGTGTGTGGTGTGTGTGTGGTGTGTGTGTGTGTGTGTGTTGTGTGTTGCTTGTGAATGAGTGTTTGTGTGTGTGTGTGTGTGTGTGCGTGCATGCTTGTGAATGAGTGTTTGTGTGTGTGTGTGTGTGTGTGTGTGCGTGCGTGTGCGTGCGCATGCGCATGGCAATTAATATATATGCATATATATATATATATATATATATATATATATATATATATATATATATATATATATATATATATATATATATATATATATATATATATATATATATATATATATATATATATATATATATATATATATATATATATATGAACACATGCACATGCACACATACACAAGTAAATCTGGTAAGTAGCTGTGCATGGGATGTGTACATCATACATGGTATTGATATGTGTAAGTGTATGTATGAGTGAATGTGTATGTCTGTGTCCATTATCAAGTGTGTGTTACTAGGGGAATGAATCCATTTAATGATTTAGGGTGGAATTTGTGGGTTTGGCATAGAGAAAGTCAAAAACTGAAACTGAAGTTAAGCCTGAGAGAAGGGAAAAAGAATGAGATAAAAGTTACGGAAAAATGTTTGTTGTACTTCTTAAAGTAATTTGCTACTTGATAATACATACATACTGCTTGGGCATTTGTGGATGGGAAAGTGCGTGGGAAATATGTGGACATGAGATATATCTTGTGTTATTATCTTTCATTTACTTTGGAGGCACTTCAAGCAGATTTTTTCTTTCTATCTTTTTTTCTTAGTTTTAAAGTTAACATAGGTTTTCAGGTACTTACGTAATTTTTTTCCACCTGAAGCTATTAGAGCTAAGCTTAAGTGGCATTTCAGTCGGGGAGGATGTTTCCCAAATCAGATGATGGAACATATCCTCTTCCTTTGCCCCTTGAGCCACGATGTGAGAGCATGGAAATGCAACTGAAAGGTTGTGTGTATAACCAATTGCTGTTAATATGCTGTTATTTTTTTTGGCTTGTGTGTGTTTTCATTGTCTGGAGTCAAGAAGTGATAGTAGTGGAAGAATTATTAAAAAAGCACTTACATGTGACTGATGAAATTGTTGTTAAGAGAGGAATGGGAAAAAAATTTGTGTAGATATGTGTTTGTGTGTGTGGTGAGAGAGAGTAGTAGTGATCTGTGTCGCTGTAAATGTGTGTGTGTGATTGTGTGTTTGTGTGTGTGATGTTGTTGTGTGCATTGTATGTGTGGGTGTGTGAAAAAAATGTGTCTGAATGTGTGGTCGTGTGTGTCGTGTGCCAGTGTGTTAGAGTTAACTATTTTGCGTCTTGTATGGTCGCTGTGTATATAGCACTGTTACAGTGTGTATGTGTGTGTGTGTGTGTATGTGATTGTGTGTCTTGTGGTGTGTACTGAAATTTTGTGTGTAATTAGTGTGGTGTGTCGTGGAAGAATGCACCATATAGCAAATTAGTGTAATAGTGTGTTGTTTGCATGTGTTTCGCTGTTGCCCTGTGTGTATGTGCTGTGGATTAATATTGTGTCATGATGATATCCCTGTGTGTATCCTAGTATTAATTTGTTGTGGTGATGTGGTGTGTGTGTGTATGTGTGTGTGTGTGTGTATGTGTGTTGTATGTGTGTGTGTTTTGTGATGTGATGTCGTGATGATGGTGTGTGTGTGTGATGTGTGTATGTGTTGTGTGAGGTGTGCATGTGATGTGCGTTGTGATTGTGCGTGTTGCGTGTGATATGTGTGTATTGATTGTGTGTGTGTGTGTGTGTGTGTTTGTGTGTGTATGTGTGCGTGTGTGTGTGTGTGTGTGTGTGTGTGTGTGTGTGTGTGTGTGTGTGTGTGTGTGTGTGTGTGTGTGTGTGTATGCTTGTGTGTGAGTGTTTGTGTGTGTGCTTGTGTGTGCGTGTGCGTGCGCATGGCTATTAATATATATGCGTATATATATATATATATATATA